TCACTTGGTTAGGGTGGCGCCTGCCAGATTTCTCAATTGTTGAGGTCCCTTTTGTTTGTTTGTGGTTTTTTGTTTTTTGGGTTTCTTTTTTGAGACAGCCTTGCCCTGTCTCCCAGGCTGGAGTGCTGTGGTAAGATCTTGGCTCACTGCAACCTTCACCTCCCAGGTTCAAGCGATGCTCCTGCCTCAGCCTCTCGAGTAGCTGGGATTACAGACATGAGCCACCCCACGCGGCTTTTTTTTTTTTTTTTTTTTAGTAGAGATGGGGTTTCACCATGTTGGCCAGGCTGATCTCGAACTCCTCACCTGTCCTCCTGGGCCTCCCAAAGTGCTGGGATTACAGTCGTGAGCCACCGCGCCGGGCCTCCAGGCCCCTTTTTTGAAATTGTCAGGGATGTTCAGCGGCAGCTTGGCAGTGAGTTGGCAGGATGGTTTTCGGCCTCAGCGGGCTTGGGTTTGAAGAGACCCCACTGGGGCGGATTTTTCTGGAGGCCGACGGTGGGCGCCGGGCGCGGGGAGGCTGCGTCCTTTGTGACGTTCCCGGCCGGCGCCCGGGCCCAGGCTCCCGCGAGCGATGGCAGCCCGGAGGGGCGCGCTGGGCCTCGCGGGACGCTGTCGGGCTGCCGCTGCTGGTGGGCACTGCGCGCCATGCCCTGGTGGGGTAACCTCTGCTGTGAGTAGCGCGCGCCCCTCGGCGGCCGTTTGCCCCGGGGCGATGGCGGACACCGAATCCCCGGGGTCAAGGATCCCTTAGGACCGCCCGAGATGGGTGTGTGGGTTTTCCAGCCTCCTCCCTTCCCGTCCCAGGTTTGGGAAAGCCTCGCTGGCCACAGCGCGCAGGGACAGGTGGGGAAGGGCCAGCGCCCGTGGCATCCGGGCCCAGGCTGCGGAGCTGCCCGCTTCCCTTGATCTTGCCCCAGGCCCCCAGGCCCCCAGGCCCCCAGGCCCCCAGGCCCCCAGGCTGCGAGCCGGGAAAGGCAAGGCCTCGTTCTGAGTCCCGAGACACAGGTGCCAAAACGCTCTGCGCTGGCAGCCTGCCTCCTACAGGGAGATAAGAGGGAAACACTTTAATACAGCCGCAGTCCCAGGGATGCCTCAGGGCGGGCCCCACTTCCCGCCACCAGAGGACACTGCCCAGAAGACTCTGTCTTGGGCGGTTGGAATGGACATGGCTGTGGCCGCAGTCTCCGGGGAAAGTGGGCGGCAGGGCAGGTCTAGGATGACCCAGGCCTCAAAAAGTCACCAGGATTTAGTAAAGTTGCCCTCACTGGGGGGCCCGAGGGCCAGCAAAGTGTTGGAGGCAGAACAGAATGCAACAGGCCTCAACACTTGAGCTGCCGCATGGGGAGAGGAGCCCAGTGATGAGACAGGGACTGAGGAGTAGGGTCTAGGCTTCTATGCGGACTCCAAGCCCAGTGGGTGGCCACAGGGTCTTGTGGGTGTAGGGGTCCGGCTCTAATCTCAACAGTGCAGGGGCAGGTATAGGCACCTGCCAGGCTAGGTAGGTCAGAATATTCTCTAGGCCCTGGAGCCATTAGGAGTCGACAGCTTGGTGCTGTGATAGCATCAGTATTTTAGGAAGCAGGCCTCCTAGGATGGAGTGTGTAGAGGGCCCCAGCACAGAGGGTACTTGGAGGCCGAAATCAGGTGAAGCACAAAGCACAGAGGTGCCAGAAGATTGTTCTGACAATTGTAGCTCTTAGGATTACTTAGGTCAAAAGAGACTATAGACTAGTTGACCAGTTATGACTTAAAGTTTTTCTATATGCATTTTATTATGTGTTCAACTCATACCTCACTCTGTTTAAAGAGAATATCTGATTATTCCTAAGCTATACTGAACTATCAATAGCTTTTCAGTAACAACTACCTTAGATACCAATGGCAGTTGCCCAGGCTGGAGTGCAGTGGTGCAATCTTGGCTCACTGCAACCTCCACCTCCCAGGTTCAAGTGATTGTCGTGCCTCAACCTCCTGAGTAGCGGAGACTACAGGCATGCACCACCACGCCTGGCTACATTTTGTATTTTTAGTGGAGACAGGGTTTCACCATGTTGGCCAGGCTGGTCTCGAATTCCTGACCTCAAGTGAACTGCCTGCCTTGGCCCCCCAAAGTGCTGGGATTACAGGCGTGAGCCACCGCACCCAGCACCATAGCTGTTTCGTTCTGCCGGCTGGCAGCTTGTTCACTAACCTTTATCTCCCTAGTTTTGACTATAAACATTCCACCCCTTCCAGAATGAAACAGAAACAAAAAGAAGTGTTTCAAATGGAAATATGGATTTGAGTGTGGAGGGAAATAGTGTGTGTGACACCAGCTTTCTCCTCCTATATCAGTAACATATCTCTGCATTTTCTGATTCCAGGGAGGTTGATGAATGTTTGTTTTTAATCACATGCTTGCTGGCAGGATATGTAATTTTTGTTTGTATTCCATATTAGTGAAATCATACTAGAATAGGGTTTGTTATTGGAATTTTTCTTTTTTTTCTCTAGTATATTTCTAATGATTTTAGCCAACTTTTTCAAAAGGAAAGTCACATCTCTTACATTGCATTAGAGATGCTTGCAAAAAGTTCTTTTGTGATGGCTGGGTGGGTGGTTCACGCCTATAATCCTAGCACTTTGGGAGGTCGAGTCGGGCAGATCACTTGAGGTCAGGAGTTCAAAATCAGTTTGGCCATCATGGTGAAACCCTGTCTCTACTAAAAATACACAGCAATTAGCTGGGCATGGTGGCACGTGCCTGTAATCCCAGCTACTCAGGAGGCTGAGGCAGGAGAATTGCTTAAACCCAGGAGGCAAAGGTTGCAGTGAGCCAAGATCATGCCCTTGCACTCCAGCCTGGGCAACAAGAGCAAAACTCCGTCTCAAAACAAAAAAAAAAAAGGAAGAAGAAGAAGAAGAAAAGAAAATTAGAGGCCAGGTGTGGTAGCTCACACCTGTAATCCCAGCACTTTGGGAGGCCGAGGCAGGCAGATCACCTGAGGTCATGAGTTCGAGACCAGCCTGGCCAATGTAGCGAAACCCTGTCTCTACTAAAAATACAAAAATTAGCCAGGCATGGTGGCACATGCCAGTAGTCTCAACTACTCAGGAGGCTGAACAGGAGATTTGCTTGAACCTAGGAGACAGAGGTTGCAGTGAGCTGAGATCACGCCATTGCATTCCAGCCTGGGCAACAAGAGCAAAACTCCATCTCAAAAAAAAAAAAAAAAAAAAGGAAAAGACAAAGAAAATTAGAGGCTGAGTGCTGTGTGGTTCATGCCTGTAATCCCAGCACTTTGGGAGGCCGAAGCAGGAAGATCGCCTGAGGTCAGGAGTTTGAGACCACAAAACCCCATCTCTACTAAAAATACAAATATTAGCCAGGTGTGGTGGCACCTGCCAGTAGTCCCAGCTACTCAGGAGGCTGAAGCAGGAGAATCTCTTGAACCCGGGAGACAAAGGTTGCAGTGAGCCCAGGTCATGTCACTACACTCCAGCCTGGGCGACAGAGTGAGACTCTGTCTTAAAAAAAAAAAAAAAGAAAAGAAAATTAAAAAATTCAGACAAGCAAAACTAAAATAAATGACATTCACATCCCCCAGAGATCACATATGTGAAGGGTGTGTGTGGGGGTGGGGCAGGGGGTTATGTGAGAGAGAGAGAGAAAGGAGAGACGGTTGTTTTTAAGCCAGAATGAGGTCATTGTATATACTGTTTGGTGACCTGCTTTCTGCAGTCAAATCTCTACCCTTTTATTTCAGTTAAAATTCATCTCATCCAATCCCAAATCTCATTCAGTTTTTCCCAGGAAAACCCAAAAATGTCCTTTGGCTGATCCAATTCAGGATCATGCCAGGCACCTCTGGTTGTGTTCCTTAAATCTCTTAATTTAACACAGTACTTTCCCCTCCACCTCCCCCCATTAAATCACATTGACTTGACTTTTCCCCTGAATGATTTTAAAATTACAAACCCGGAAAAACATAGTAAACACTTATGTACGCTTGACCTAATTCACCATTTATGGAGAGCCACGTCGTCCGCCCACCCCACCACCCCCCACCAAGCTGTTTGAAAGTTACTTACAGACAATCCTTTTTGTGCTTCTGCTTGATTTTCATTTTTCCGTGACACTGACATTTCAGGCCAGGCTAGTTGTTTTGCAGAACGTCCTTCATTGTGGATTTGTCTGGTTGTGTCCTCATGATGAGATGAGATGCCGTTAAATATTTTAGTCAGGAGTGCTATGTAGATGAATTCTTGTCCTTCTGAGTGCCTCACATCAGGAAGCGAAATGCAATCTGTCCCATTATTGAGGATATTAAATTTGATCACTTGGTTAAGGTGGTGCCTACCAGATATCTCCATTGTCAAGGTCGTTTTTGTGAAATTAAGTAATGTGTGTGTTGGTACTCTGAATGTATGTTTCCTGACAGCCTTTTACCCGATGGCTTTAGCAGCCTGTGATCCTTGACTAAATGAGTTTTTTGTGTTTTTTTGAGATGGAGTCTTGCTCTGTCACTATCTCAGCTCACTGCAACCTCCACCTCTTGGGTTCAAATGATTCTTCTGCCTCAGCCTCCCAAGTAGCTGGGACTACAGGTGTGTGCCACCATGCCCGGCTATTTTTTTTGCATTTTTAGTAGAGACGAGGTTTCACCATGTTGGCTAGGATTGTCTCGATCTCTTGACCTCGTGATCCGCCTGCCTCGGCCTCCCAAAGTGCTGGGATTACAGGCGTGAGCCACTGCCCCCTGTAATCCCAGCACTTAGCACCAGCCTGAATAAATGAGTTATTAAATGGTGCTTGTAAATTGTGATTTTCTAAATCTAAAATTCTAAAGATAATGACTTTGAGGATCAAAGTAGAAATTATATCTATATTTATTGACTTTTTTTCCTTAAGTGCTCCCGGCTCCCTGTTTCCATTTTTTAGTATCACTCTCGATTCATGGATTCTTTTTTTATTCAACGTGCTGTAACTCACCAATGTCATTATTCTTTCTTTTTCATGTCAGGTGAGTGATGTGCACAATCGTGGTAACAAGGTGTGAGGGTGGCACAGTCTCACACATGCTCGTGAACACCCAGTCACTCGTGAACTACAAAGAACCCATTATTCTTTTTTATGCGTCAAAGTTTGGGCATTGGGAGCCCCTTCAAGCCAGCTCTTGTGTCCTTTTGACATACCTCTATCAGCTCTTGAGCATCTTCTTTCAGTCACAAGAAAATATTTTTCATACACCCTATGACCCAGCCTGGAATTTCTCCAAAGAGCTCTGGTCCCTTCTGGGGACCTGTCGAGTCTTAGTTACCACATAGAATGTCCCCTCTTTCGGATTTGTGTAGATACTTGTTTGTTCTTTAGCTTGTTTCTCACACCCTGTATTTCCTGTTAAGTGGGAAGTTGTATCTAAAACTTGATGGATTCTTGTTTAAAATATGGGTGTGATGTGGGATTCCATCTTACACTGCAACAGAAGATAAACTGTCTGGTTGACTCATTCTTAGGGGTGCCATGGCTACTTATGTGGAACTAATTTTTTGATAGTTAAGTTTGTCAACTTTCCCTTTAATAGGCAACAGTAAGAGCAGATGATTCTCTTTGAACCTAAATTTTTAAAGGTCATTGGAAGGAAGTAGACATTAATCTATTAAGATTTACAAATCTCTACCCGGGCCTGGTGGCACATACCTGTAGTCCCAGCTACTTGGGAGGCTGAGGCAGGAGAATCACTTGAACCCTGGAGGCGGAGGTTGCGGTGAGCCGAGATCACACCACTGCACTCCAGCCTGGGTGACAAGAGCGAAACTCCATCTCCATATTAAAAAAAAGATTTACACATCTCCATAAGATCTCACTTTATCCTCGAATTGCCTGTCATTAAAGAAAGTATTAATTGGTCATGTTTTAAAAATATTTAATTTTCTTGGGCTGGGCACAGTGGCTCACGCCTATAATCTCACCACTTTAAGAGGCTGAGGCAGGGGGATTGCTGGACCCCAGCAGCTGGAGACCAGCCTGGACCCACTAGTGAGATCTCATCTCTACAGAAAATAAAAAATTAGCTGGACATGGTGGCATGTGCCTGTAGTCCCAGCTACCTGGGAGGCTGAGGTGGGAGGATTGCTTGAGCCTGGGAGGTTGAGGCTGCAGTGAACCGAGACCACACCACTGCACTCCAGCCCGGGCAACAGAGTGGCGCCCTGTCTCAGAAAAACGATTTCCTCGAATTGTAATCATCTTTTCTCTTCTCCCCACCCCGCTTTTTGTTAATAGTTGGACAGAGAGACTCTGAAGATGTGAGCGAAAGAGACTCTGATAAGGAGATGGCTGCTACGTCGACAGTTGATCAAGACGTCAGAGACGATGGGCAGGAGGAGACCCCTGAAATCATCGAACAGATTCCTTCTTCAGAAAGCAATTTGGAAGAGCTAACACAACCTGCGGAGTCCCAGGCTAATGATATTGGATTTAAGAAGGTGTTTAAGTTTGTCGGCTTTAAATTCACTGTGAAAAAGGATAAGACAGAGAAGCCTGACACTGTCCAGCTACTCACTGTGAAAAAAGATGAAGGGGAAGGAGCAGCAGGGGCTGGCGACCACCAGGACCCCAGCCCGGGGGCTGGAGAAGCAGTCTCCAAAGAAAGCGAACTCAAACAATCCACAGAGAAACCCGAAGAGACCCTGAAGCATGAGCAAAGCCACGCAGAAATTTCTCCTCCAGCCGAAGCTGGCCAAGCCATGGAGGAATGCAAAGAGGAAGGAGAAGAGAAACAAGAAAAAGAACCCAGCAAGTCTGCAGAGTCCCCAGCGAGTCCCGTGACGACTGAAACGGCATCAACCTTCAAAAAATTCTTCACTCAAGGTTGGGCCGGCTGGCGAAAAAAGACCAGTTTCAGGAAGCCGAAGGAGGATGAACTGGAAGCCTCAGAGAAGAAAAAGGAACAAGAGCCAGAGAAAGACACAGAAGAAAATGGAAAGGCAGAGGCTCGCTCCGAGCAGGCCCAGCCACAGGAGGAGGTGGAAGGCGCCCCCGAGCCCCGGTTATCAGCTGAATATGAGAAAGTTGAGCTGCCCTCGGAGGAGGAGGTCATTGGCTCGCAGGGACCTTCTGAAGACAAACCCGCTCCGCTGGCGACAGAAGTGTTTGATGAGAAAATAGAAGTCCACCAGGAAGAGGTTGTGGCCGATGTCCATGTCAGCACCGCGGAGGAGAGAACCGAGGAGCCGAAAATGGAGGTGGAAGAAACGGCAGGGTCAGCGCCTGCTGAAGAGTTGGTTGAAGTGAATGCAGAACCTCAGGAAGCCGAACCTGCCAAGGAGCTGGTGAAACTCAAAGACACGAGTGTTTCCGGAGAGGACCCTGCGCTGGGAGCTGACCTCAGTCCTGATGAGAAGGCGCTGTCCAAGCCCCCCGAAGGCTTTGTGAGTGAGGTGGAGCTGCTGTCATCACAGGAGAGAATGAAGGTGCAGGGAAGTCCACTCAAGAAGCTTTTTACCAGCACTGGCTTAAAAAAGCTTTCCGGAAAGAAACAGAAAGGGAAAAGAGGAGGCGGAGACGAGGACTCAGGGGAGCACACTCAGGTTCCCGCCGATTCTCCGGACAGCCAGGAGGAGCAGAAGGGCGAGAGCTCGGCCTCGTCCCCCGAGGAGCCCGAGGAGATCACGTGCCTGGAGAAGGGCTTAGCCGAGGTGCACCAGGACGGGGAAGGTGAAGAAGGAGCTACTTCCGATGGAGAGAAAAAAAGAGAAGGTGTCACTCCCTGGGCATCGTTCAAAAAGATGGTGACGCCCAAGAAGCGTGTTAGACGGTCTTCAGAAAGTGACAAAGAAGATGAGCTGGACAAGGTCAAGAGCGCTACCTTGTCTTCCACCGAGAGCGCGGCCTCTGAAATGCAAGAAGAAATGAAAGGGAGCGTGGAAGAGCAAAAGCCAGAAGAACCGAAGCGCAAGGTGGATACCTCAGTATCTTGGGAAGCTTTAATTTGTGTGGGATCATCCAAGAAAAGAGCAAGGAAAGGGTCCTCCTCTGATGAGGAAGGGGGGCCAAAAGCAATGGGAGGAGACCACCAGAAAGCAGATGAGCCCGGAAAAGACAAAGAGACGGGGACAGACGGGACCCTCACGGGTTCCCAGGAACATGAGCCCGGACAGGGTTGTTCATCCCCCGAGCAAGCTGGAAGCCCTACTGAAGGGGAGGGTGTTTCCACCTGGGAGTCATTTAAAAGGTTAGTCACGCCAAGAAAAAAATCCAAGTCCAAGCTGGAAGAGAAAAACGAAGACTCCGTAGCTGGGTCTGGTGTAGAACATTCCACCGCAGATGCTGAACCCGGGAAAGAAGAATCCTGGGTCTCAATCAAGAAGTTTATTCCTGGACGAAGGAAGAAAAGGCCAGATGGGAAGCAAGAACAAGTCCCTGCTGAAGACGCAGGGCCAGCAGGCGCCAACGAAGATGACTCTGATGTCCCGGCCGTGGTCCCTCTGTCGGAGTATGATGCTGTAGAAAGGGAGAAAATGGAGGCACAGCAAGCACAGAAAAGCGTAGAGCAGCCCGAGCACCAGGCAGCTGCTCAGGTGTCCAAGGAGCTCAGTGACAGTCAGGGTCATATGGTGGCAGCAGCTGTCATTGACGGGACCAGGGCAGCTGCCATTAATGAAGAAAGGTCTCCTTCTTGGATATCTGCTTTAGTGACAGAGCCCCTTGAACAAGTAGAACCTGAAGCTGCACCGTTAACTGGGGAGGTATTGGAAAGAGAAGTCATTGCAGAAGAAGAAACCCCCGAGGTTACTGAGCCTCTGCCAGAGAACAGAGAGGCCCAGGGTGACACGGTCGTCAGCGAGGTGGAATTGACCTCCAAAGCAGTGACAGCGGCAGAAACTGCGGGGCCATTGGGTGCCGAAGAAGGAGCCGAAGCATCTGCTGCTGAAGAGACCACAGAAATGGTGTCAGCAGTCTCCCAGTTAACCGACTCCCCAGACACCACCGAGGAGGCCACCCCGGTGCAGGAGGTGGAAGGTGGAGTATCCGACATGGAAGAGCAAGAGAGACGGACTCAAGAGGTCCTCCAGGCGGTTGCAGAAAAAGTGAAAGAGGAATCCCAGCTGCCTGGCACCAGTGGGCCGGAAGACACACTTCAGCCTGGGCAGAGAGCAGAGGCAGAAAGATCTGAAGAGGATGCTGAAGCACTGGATCTGAAGAAAGAGACGGATGTAGCACTGAAAGTAGATGCTCAGGAGGTGAAAACTGAGCCTTTTACACAAGGGAAGATGGTAAGGCAGACCACCCCGGAAAGCTCTGAAAAAGCTCCTCCAGCCACGGAGAGCGGAGAGTCCAGTGAGCTTGCAACCACATGTCACGCCGAAACCTTAGCTGGGGGGAAATCACAGGAGATGGTGGTGAAACAGGCTCTCCCCGCTGACTTGGCAGAAACCCCTACAGACAGTGAGACCGATGGAAGCACCCCTGTAGCAGACTTTGATGCACTAGGCACAACTCAGAAAGACAAGATTGTGGAAATCCAAGAGGAGAATCAGGTCGCATCTGGTACCCAGTCAGGGGGTGCAGAAGCAGAGGCAGTTCCTGCACAGACAGAGGGGCCCCCAGCACCTTCCAGTTTTGTGCTCCAGGAAGAAACTAAAGAACAATCAAAGATGGAAGACACGCTAGAGCATACAGATAAAGAGGAGTCAGTGGAAGCTGGACCTGTTCTGTCGAAGACGGAGGGGACCCAAGAGGCTGGCCAGTTTGCTGATGAGAAAACCAAAGACGAACCATTTGTCGAAGGACTGGAGGTGTCTATAGACACAGGCATAGCAGTCAGTCAGGAAAAGGTCACTGAAGTTGCCCTTAAAGAGGAAGTGACAGGAGAAGTTGAATGTCAAAAGGATGATGCTACTGAACTGCAGAGTCACACGAAGTCTGCTCTGTCCCCCGTGGAGAGAGAGAGGGTAGTTCAAGTCGAAAGGGAGAAAATGGAAGCAGAGCCAACTCGTGTGAAAAAAGAGAAACTTGAGCACAAAACAGCTGTTACCGTATCTGAAGAGGTCAGTAAGCAACTCATCCAGACAGTGAGTGTGCGCATCATAGATGGGGCAAAGGAAGTCAGCAG